CCTTTTAAGCTCGCACGATGAAAAAAAACATGCACTTAGTTTCTGAAACAGCCATTAATAGATTAATAGCACGAATGTAGGCGATGTATTTGATGTGGCCGGATTGGAAACTGCAAATAAAATGAATTACAAGTGGTTTTATGCTATTGTCATGTTATCTATATAACTACATACATTCTGGGATGCTCTCAACAGCCCCCAAAGTACCCAAAAGATGTAATACATGTGTCAGGTCCCTGTGTTCATTTTGTGGCGGAGATAGATAAACCTCAGGTTTAAACATTCTCATCTAACCAGACGGACAATTGAAAGTATGCACCCACGTTTGATGGATTCTTAAAATGAAACAAATATGAAATGGTTACTTGAGTAATTGATGGTGATGTATTTGAAACGAGTTATGTAATGGATCCTAAGTTTGCAGTGTTTTTAAGCCTTGTAACCTTTTGATAACGTTTGCAATTGTTTGATCAAATCCAATTTTCAAGTACACTGTCTATACTTTTTTTTGTCCAGGTGTTTGTTGCAGCTTCCATCGCGGCCGTACCCTCAGACTTTTACAAATGTATATTGTGATGTATTTCTTAAGTCTTGGGATTTTCAACAGAGAGTAATATCTCGAAAAGCCGAAACGCTTCTGCTCTGACCATAAAGTAAAACCGTCTTAAACGAAACATCGAGACAAGGAAGTTTGGGGTAACACTATTGCTCTCTATATTTAAATGGGCAGAAAGCCACATAAAAATGTAAAAGAAAACACTGAATTTTCCTAATTGTCTTTGGGAACCTTGTTAAGCCGAAATGAAGTCCACACTTGTTGGGTCGTCTTTAAATAAAGAGACAAAACCCTTTCCATATCCAATGGGAATCTCTGCCAAAAAGTCAATTTTACGACTCCGACTATATCAAGAGCATCTGTTTATGAATCACTATCATATAGTAATGAAACTAGGTGTTCGCGAAAAGGTGAGAGTATCTTGCCCTTTTGTTGACAATCGTCACAAACACATGCAATTGTTCACCTTAAAAAAAACCCACAGAAACAAATGGTACAAGTCAAATAGGGAATTGCATCGGACAAAATTTGGGTCAAATTTAGAAATGTCCTCCACATGTCTACCATAAACCTTTCTGAAAGTTATACTGAGGCTTTGAATGTTGTAACCTTGATCGAACCACTTGTAAGCAAGAGTCGTATGACGCTCTTTGAAATCGTTGTAGAAATAGCATGTTCGATTGCATCTCAAAAGTTAAATGTTTAAAGTTAAATTAAAAGTGGAATGTAAACACCTAAGGCTGGAGCTGCTGGTATATTGCTCAGTATGAAGGGAAAGTGGACTACTGAAAAGTTGAAGTCATCCCACTTGTCATACAGTCTTCTGGAGAGTGTTTTGTCACTCTGAATCTTTATGCATAAATCTAAATATGAAACAGATGAGGAATAACACAGCCCAACTTCTGGACACGTGCACTGTTGGCCACTAAGTCGCGGCCACCTACAGTGCAACCTTCAATGGCATTTTAATCCACAAGCTCTGGCACTACTTATTCTGAGCACCGACTACATGAGATTACATTTAGCAATTTAGGTACTTGACAAATGTCGTCATCATTCACTTACTTGCAAGAGAACAACTTCCTGGAGTCTGAATGCCGTGGAATGGTTCTCCCCGGAGAGTAACCTTATACTTCCGTGTAGTGAACTTCAAGCAGGGCTACCTGTTAAATCAGGAAAGGCTCACGGGTTCTGCGAATAGTGCCATGATTGTGTCATCGTCGTGTTGTTTAAATAATGAAGTAAAGGTCTTTATTATTTTAGTGACATCTCTTCTTTAGAATAATCGTTTCTGACATGCAGCCCTGATTGTAGTTTGGTGGAATCCTCCTTCATTCTGACCCTGGTCATTCTGTGGTCACTCGTTGTTGTTACATATGCGTTGCAAGTCAGTGGATACAATCCCTATCCTCCGTAACATGTAAGGAGTCCTGTTATTTGTTTAAAGGTGATTACTTTCGAAGCAAGAACATCCATACTTACATCGTACAATACCATGATGCTGACTTAATAAAACTGAATTTTTTTAATATTGTGTAAACCTGCAAAATATGGAAAAATAAATAAACATTTTCACGTTAACGTTGCTTTAACTTATGTCAACTTTCAAAACGTTAACAGGCTAAATATGACTTCTTTGATAGGCATTTAGAAGTTGGAGTACTAAGTAAGGATAAGAATTTATGGATGAACAACTTCTTTATAACAATTAAAAGCGACGTAACGGTGTAGGTTCTTACCCCGTTATCAAGCCTTACTTAGGCTAAATATACATTAGCCGAAACAAACTTTAAGTCCAAAACGTACCTATGATACCCGAATCAAATACATCACCATCGAATAACCATATATTGTTTGTTATATTTTTAGCCACCATCAAACATGGGTGTACACTTTCCTTTGCCTGACAGTTTATCTGTAATCGCAAACATCCAATACGAGAAATACCAACATGCTGTTTTGACGTACTTCAATTTGACATTTATAAGTATATCCCCATTCAGCGCATGGTAGGGATTTCAATCATAAATGATTTGTTTGTTTGTTGTTACACGTCGAACTCAGCAATATTCCAGTTCAATCCAGTTCAGTTTATTTCTCTACATATATATATATATATATATATATATATATATATATATATATATATATATATATATATATATATATGTGTGTGTATATATACATATATATTACAATATACAAAGCAGATGATAATGGTAACAAATCTCAATAAAAAACTTAGACACTTTAACGTAATAATGTGTTCAAATGTACAATGAATCTGGACTGATGTTTGAAATTGGATATATTTTCAGGTGATAACGTTTTACGCAGTTTACACATATTTGGCCAGATATAATAATTCTTTGGGATGTAAAGAAGTCGTTGTTGGAGAAGTGCTTCCAGCTATGTGACAGCGGTCTGTAAATAATCGGACCAGACAATCAAGTAATTGATATCATGAGCATCGATCCACTCAAATAGGATCGATGACATGCATCAACCACGTCAGCGAGCCTGACCACCCGATCCCGTAAGTCGCCTCTTACGAAAAGCACAGTCGCCTTATACGGCAAGCATGGGTTGCTGAAGACCAATTCTACCCCGGATCTTCACGGGCCGGCGGAAGATGAGAATTCATGAAGAACATTGCCGACTAAGGCGTTAACCAACACTCAACCACACTCTTAGACAAAATTTTATTTGAATATAAAAGCAATTCCTGTCTTTCGTTTATTCATGGTTTACGACTTGCGGTGATTACACCAATTTTCCAGTCTGTGTCGGTGTGTAATAATTAACCCTCTAACTGCCAATATGATCCTGGTCTTAACTTCGGGTTACCTCGCCTCGTTACTCGCCGATACGCTTGTCCACAATCCTCCGCCAAATGGCCCAATGAAGGAATCGATGTCACCTAATGGAGTTTTATGACCATGGGAACTTATAAAGGGCATGGAGGACCCCTAATGTCAGCTAGTTGATCATTGATTTGACTCTGTCACGACACGATGTGGATCCCATCATACGGCAAGCATGGTACTGTTTGGTCATCCATTGTCGTTAAATACCATCATGGTTGTAAATTGTCAATTGCTTGCGAGTATCTGTGTACTTAGTTTCGAGCTTTTAGAGGGCAACAAAGCAGCGATGTTTTATGTAACAACACAGGGTCGTTGACAAGTTCCACTGATGCGTTTTAAGTTCTTTATGATTGCGTGGAGTATTTGTGAGAAGACGATACGCAGTCTTAAGCCATTACGGTCTCTGATTGCTTAATCCGACGTGGCCGCATTGTGAATACAACACCAAAAAGGAGTGGTTTCTGGATATTCTGTTAAAGTAGGCTGTTATTCAGCTAAAGCACAAATCTTTTCTTGCAATTGATTTGTATTTAAGTATTTTTTAATATATCATTTAAATATCCAAACTACCCACTGATCCATTATGACAGTTACGTCGTCTCTATGACCATGCAGTGTCTTTCTGTGGAGAGGGCATTTCGTATTCGAATGTTTCTCCATGGAAGGTGTTTATGTATGCATAATATTCCCAAATTCCAATCACAATGGGAACGTTACGGTAGATTTGTAGTGAAAGCGTGACAATTACTATAAACGGAAAACGGCTTATATTTTCGGGGACAGTTGCGTCCCTTTAGCATGACAGGATCGTATGATAGAGGGTTCGAATCGCAAATTCGCCCTGAAAATAATCTTTGTTTGTCATAACCATTCACGGGTTCGAAAAGGTCAATAGGAAAGCAAACACTAAAAAATTGAATTAGACCAACATATTACCAAAAAAATCAAAACAATACTAGGCTGAAAACAGTAGCCGAAACACTGCAAGTTTCAGATCCAAAACACAACTAGGATACCCGTATCAAATACATCACCATCGAATACCCAATCTTTGGTTTAATGTTTAGCCACCATAGATGTAGTGGTTTATATCTAGCTTAAGAAAATTTAACCGGCCAACTAGGACTTTTTCACCAAGAAATCTGTAACTTAGGAAAAACAGATTTGCAGTAAAAGTGTTCAAAATGCTTAAAAGTACAATGTATCACACTTCAAGTCGCAATAAATACTCTAAATTAGAGGGGCATGAGTACCCAGTCGTCTGAGGCGCCACTGATGTACAGAGTTGGGCACGCAAGAAACCTATGATTGTGGGGTCGAATCCCGGTTCGACCCTTTTCTGTTTCTAGGTTTGTCAGCACCATACCCGTGCTCGTGGGTTTCACAAAAGTGGTAAACGTCTAAGACCTGCATCACTTCGGGCTTTCCTCCCACATCAAGCTGACACGCCGTGATATAACCAGACTACTGTTCTAAGCGGCGTTAAACCCAACTCACTCACTCACTAACTTCGATCCATGTTTTCTTAGACAAGGATAATACAGGGAATTTGGAAAACTGTTATTTCGCTGTTTCAGACAGCCAAGATTGTCATTCAACATATCGAATCCCGAAAGGCCCGGAAGAAAGGTGCGCAGTTCGAGATATTCCTCCAGTGCGCAGGTTCCCTTGAGGGCGTGTCAAGCGCGTGCGACTTGATGAAGCAGAGTCCATTTGTGCTGGACACAGAAGTCCTGGGCGAGGCCGAGACTGAGAGTAAAGGTGAGTCCATTATGATGAACGATAAACTATTTTTCCCGGAACATACTTCCACGTCAATTATAAATTTAATATAAGATCATCGACTGATTTTACGCAGTTAACTCTTTTGTGTCGGCACTAAATTGAAACTCACCACCTTAATTATAATACATACACACGAACGATTTAGTGAGTGAGTGAGTATGGTTTTACGCCGCTTGTAGCAATATTCCAGCAATATCACGGCAGGGGACACCAGAAATCGGCTTCATACATTGTACCCATGTCGGGAATCGAACCCGGGTCTTCGGCGTGACGAGCGAACGCTTTAACCACTAGGCTATCCGACCGCCCCTCACGAACGGTTTAAAACAAGAGAATTTAGGTAACAATTTCAAACTTTTACAACACCGCCTTTCAAAAACTGACTTGGTAGGATGGGAGAATTTAGAACACTATACCAGTAATCGTAGACAACACTATACTAGTGACAGTGCATTTAGTGAAGAACATCGTCGCCCTGCGTCACACCTTTCTCATATACGAAAGCTGACACGCCCTGATAGAACTGAAATTCAACTCGAATTTAACTCACTTAACGTGTATGCTTTTGCCGCTATTATCAATACCTCACATATTGATGATCCAGTTATCCTCCTGATACAAAGGCACTGTCAATACAAACACAATTTGAATATATTGTATGACTGTAAATATATTGTTTGACAGATTCGTAATTAGACAACCGCGGGGAAACCGCTTTCCTGTAAAGTGCTTTTAGAAATGATATGTTTACTCAGTGCTTTGTTACCAAATGAATTATTTGTTATGTCATATCGCTAAATGTGATGGCATCCAATGTCCCATATAATCACGTAATGTATCTACCTCATTAGTTTATTCAAGGTGTAGCGTTACCTGTCACGGTGTGTCTCAATCTCGTTAATTACAAATATGGTTAATCGTCCGATGATCGGAACTATGAGAACGCATCGGTTTACTTTCAGAGCTGTGGTTCCCGAGGCACATATCAGAGCTGGATCAGTGTACCCATATCGTCACCAAGTTTGAACCGGAACTTGACCATCATCATCCGGTAAGGTCAGGTGGAAGGTCACATCCGGTCACGTGTATAGATAACGCGTTGCTTTTAGTTCACTAATGGTTATAACGTTGGACTTGTATGTGCGGTAAAGCAGTAATTCAAATAAAAATCAAAGTCAGTATTGTAATGAGTAGTATTACAAGGGTGACATCACTGGCCCAGTGGTTTATTACCGGTACTTCTACCTACAGGATCCGCTGATCGTGGTCCTAATTCAGATTCGTCCTAATTACCAACCTTGGTTTGTTAGCGTCATGTATATCTATGCTTGATGGTTTTACTAAAGTGTCAAGCCTACATGACTGACATCATATATTGTGATGATGTAAAAAGCGGCGTTTCATCTCACTCACTCACTCACTCGACCATTCTTACTTCCAGGGGTACACAGACCTTGAGTACAGGAAAAGGCGGAAGGAGATTGCAGACATTGCTTTTACTTATCGACAGTAAGGATAGTTGTTGGTTGAATGTGATTTCATTGGGAACTTGTCAATTTGTTCACACGCACATCCACAATCACCAAACTGGCTTACCTTTACGCGCACCTGACTGACTCGTTCACCTATTTCTGTCAAAAAATACAAAAAAATACATAAAAGTTGAAACCTTATTTAAGAAGAGGGAGATGTTTATCGTACAATAAAACACAGCAGGGAGAGTAAACCATGAGGGGCGCAAGTGTGCATAAGCTGTTCTCAGTGACCATGGACTGTTACAGTTGAAACTACACATGACTAAATAATAACGCAGGGGCATGGACTGTTTCAGTTAAAAGTACACATGACTACACAATCACGCCGAGCCTAAATAGGCCGAAGAGAAGCTACATTAAAGCATACGTAATACACTCTTCAAAAAAAGAAACGCATAGTTAAGAAATAAGGATATTTATTAAGCGGATGTAAAAGTATCTACACAGAATATGCGTGAACACAATCAAATGAAATTAGACACATTGGTCGAAAAAGCATTGTCGTCATTGTCAGCATTAATTCAGTTCAGTCATTGCACATGTGTAGCCACAAAGGGGCGTCATGGTCAGTACCTGGTCACACCACCTCTTGCAGCCGCCACTGCTCGACACCTCCTTGGCACAGATTGCACGAGTCGTCGGATTTTTTCGTGGGGAATTCTTCGCCATTCCTCCTGTAAGGCGTTGGCGAGTTGTGCTAGTGTGTGGGGACGCTGGTGGCGTTGACGGACGCGTAGATCAAGTTCGTCCCACAAATGTTCAATCGGGTTGAGTGGGGCCGAGCGTTGTCATGTTGGAACAGCTCCCTCTGGCGGCCCAAAGTTGGGGGGAGATGAGGACGCAGAATTTGGTCTATGTATCGGTTTGCTGTTAGATTGCCCTCAGCAACCACTAACTGTAATCTACCCGTGTAGGATATGGCTCCCCACACCATGACACGCCCTCCACCAAATCGGTCCACCTGTCGAACGGAGTTCGGTGCAAAACGTTCATGTCGACGTCGGTATACACGTTGTCTTCCATCCCGTCGTTGAAGAAGAAAACGTGACTCATCGCTGAACCAAACGCGTCGCCAGTTCCTGAGATCCCATGCATGTACTCTCTTGCACCACCACGACACGTCGTTGACGGTGTAGACGTCGCAAGACAGGACCAACTTTTGGTCGTCTCGCTCGAATTCCCACTTCCCTCAGACGATTTCTGATGGTTTGGTCGGAAATTCTTCGCATACCAGACACTAGTCCTGCAGTGTCCGTTGCTGTAGCAAATCGATTCCGAAGGTGATGCAACTGGATGTACCGATCCTGAGCAGGGATGGTCACTCTTGGTCTTCCACTTCTGGGATGATCTTGAGTCGAATTAGTGCGGGTATATCGATCCCATAGTCGAGATATGGTGCTTTGGTGAACGTTGAAGTGTCTTGCAACGGCAGACTTTGACTCCCCTGCTTCCAAACTTTAGCTGCAGTTAATCTTGGCATTTTCCATCTCCGTTCACGTCAGAAAATTGGTAATGAACTGATGAATTTTGTACGGTCTTTTATAGTCAGTGTCTTTATTCTTGTTTCCAACACTTTGCACGTGCATTGTGCTGCAAACTTTTTCTGAAAGCAATTTCCGTGCATCCTTTGATTTTTTGCTGATAAACGTTTACCAAAAAACATTTTGAGATGTGTTTGCGCGCAATACACAACAAACATGACATGATTAACGGGAATCAAACTTAAGAATTGACTTTATGACGATTGCCGGGAAAAAAATCGAATTGGAATTCTCAAAACACCTATGAGTCTCTTTTTTTGAAGAGTGTAGTTACAGTTATTAACATGGCGGCATTGAAAATTCCCCGCCTTTAATCCGATAAATTAATTAAATATGTCAGCGGCCTCCCGTCTAGTAATAATAATAGGTCATACATATTGCGCATATTTCCACACCTCTCAGAGGCATGCTCAAAGCGATATTATTTACCCGGTCACTGCATCAGTGTGCCCTCAAGAATCATTCTAAGCTCCCTGGGGAGAATACAACCTAAGCTGCCTACTACTACTACTACTACTACTGCTGCTCCTGCCGCTGCTGCTACTTCTACTGCTACTGATACTATTACTATTGCTGCTACTACTACTACTTCTACCACCACTACCACAATTATTACTGCTACTGCTACTACCACTATTTCTACTACTACTACTACTACTACTGCTACTACTACAGCTGCTGCTGCTGCTGCTAATGCTAATGCTACTGTGCATGGGTTTCAGAAGCCTCATTCTTACGCTTAGGAGTGAATATCGTAAAAATTATACACCATTTACACCAACATATGTCGTTTAAGAACTTAACTTCAAGGCATTTTGTTCATTTTGGCTAAGTTAGAAATGTTAATAAACTTCTGGCTGTATGAAAACGTTAATGTATGATTCGTAGCTATGTCTATTAACGATCAATTCAGATGGTAAGATCAGAGCAATACATTCCACAGCTAATATTCCCCAGCCAACATTACATGAAAACACAATCATCACCAACGTATGATGACTAACGCTTCCTCTCTCCCTCCAGCTCACAGGCGATACCCAGAGTCACATACACCGACGACGAGGTCGCTACATGGTAAGACATTTCTCTATCTGTTTGCATCGCCCTTGCTTCTAGACACAACACGATGATGCGGGAAGTACTTCCTATCTGGCGATTACCTAGTCCGGCCGAGACGTGACACGGCATGTCCAACCCCAACTGTATTCCTCCAGCCAGCATCGCCAGAAGAGGTCTTTAAGCTGGACACACATGATCCTCAGACAGGCGTTAAGAGCTGGTCAACAGTCTGTTTCCGGACATATTGACCCTTTGGCGGAGTCATCATGGCACCATCTAGTCTTTGGATGGACCCAGTGATTTTGTAATGAAGAAGACCTGTCACATGGGGACACGTTTGTGTCAGATTCTATTCGGGGATGTGTCTGTGTATCTATTACTAGGCAAAATTGTTACACAATTGTTAAACACAACTTATATATGTTGGATAATAAATGGGGTGAAACTTATTATTATGATTTAATCGTACTTTGAGGTTAGGTGTATCTAATTTATTAAGACAGCATATTGACTTAATACCTTTTAAGCTTTCAGAGAAACGTTTAGGTACAGATTATGCCTTTCTGAAACAGGATTGGCATGATTTAAATTTCTTTTGTTATTCTTTCAACTCGACGTTTGTTAACAATTCGTTTATCCTTGATAAACGAACCAAACTGTAGGGGAAAAGAACACATACACCAATATGTGATGGCGCTTACAAATGAAACAAACAAGAAATGGTTATTCGATTGTAATGTATTTGTTATTATAATTGTTTTGGACTTTCAGTTTTTAGGAGCGTGTATTCAGCCTAGTAACGTTTTGATAACGTTTGTCCTGTTTTTGGTCTTCAAGTGTATACTTTCTTTTGCCCTTCAGTTTAGTATCTGTACCAAAACTTCGTTTTGGAACAATTTCAAACAAGATGAAATGAATTTGAAATCCATATCGATCATGTCTTTTCACTCTTACTTCATTTCATCTTGAGCTCGTTTTCCTCAATAGTAACACAATCAACTTGAATACGGGTTTAAATATCAAACCATCATACGTCAATTTTGGAATATGTTCCTTAAGTTTAATGATAAGATATTAAGGCGTCTATATAAACTTTAAATGTGTTTTACTATTTTACAACGTCTGTATTAATCTATTGTAAGCAAAATAAAATAAACAAGAGACGAAACATGTGTCTCATACTTCATATCTCACTCTCCAGTATGGGTTTGAATAAAAAGAAATAGCTGTTTTATTAACCTTACTTGTTTTATTGTATTACTTGCCACGTAGGCCTTCCTCTCACATTTTCACGACCTGAAATAAAGAAATAAGGTTCAAAGCGATCTCCCTCGCTGACTCTCTGTCTTATTATATCAGGGCTCACGTGTACCGGACGCTGAAGGAGCTGTATCCCACGCATGCGTGCAAGCAGCACAACGCCATTTTTAAAGTGCTGGAAGAGGAATGTGGCTACGGACCTGAAACAATACCGCAACTTGAGGATGTTTCCAACTTCCTGAAACGTAAGCATTTATGTCGAGTATCAATTTGTGTATTGGTAACCTAAGCGGTAAAGGGTTTTGGGTGACAAAAGCCTTATTCCCCGGAATTTGCTGTTCACGGTTACCTCCCTTAGTAATCGTTTAGTTCAATGCTGATGATGTCAATCACTGCATCGTCTGATCCAGACTCGATTATTTATAGACCGCCGGCATAAAGGTGGAATGATGCTGAGTGCGGTGTTAAACAACCATTAAACACAAACAGTGTTACGACTGCCTCACTCAAAATTGGCACTTTTGCCTGACATCATCAACGAAATGCAATTACTACTACACAGTTCAAGTCATAACTAAATGTGGAATCATATATTACTTGTAATATGTCTTCTTACCAACGTAGACTTATAGCCATGTTCCGGTGTAATAATTTCAGACTTGTTGTTGAACTGGGGCGTCACAACAACATCCCATATAATGAACGTGTCTGCACTTTCTGTTTTTCAAAGGGACATAACCATGTTGAAGATGAATTCCATGTTCTTATGATTTGTGACCAGTATTCTAGAGCAAGAACGAACTCTTTTCCCAAGCGTCTCGTTACCCCTCCCTCTATTGAGAATTTTATAAGACTTATGTCAGCTGAAAACCAACAAATTATAAAGGGCTTAGGTAAATTTCTCTCCCAAGTCATGAACATCGAACTGAAACACAGTGTCGAACGGTGAATCATTATTAAATCTACTCAGCATGCAAATATATATACAGTATATTTCCATTGTATTATGGGCCGGTGGCCTGAAGTACCGAATTGTCTGTCTGTCTAAACACAAACACACCGTGACTGAAATAGTGATCAGAGCGGCGCTAAAGCCCCCCAAAAGGCATTCACTTACCAAACACGTGTCTTCGTTAAAGAAAATACTTCCTATTTAATACATATAATTCATATCCACCATAACATAATGAACCAGGCGTTTTTGTTAGTTCTTTTAATGTCAACTATATTTTAACAAATTTAGATTATGTGTATCTGTCACGCAACTGACAAGTGGTATTTGTCATTTCCAGGTAAGACTGGTTTCCAGCTGCGCCCAGTCGCCGGGCTGTTGTCTGCACGTGACTTCCTATCGTCCTTGGCCTTCAGAGTATTCCAGTGTACGCAGTACATCCGACATCCCTCCAAACCAGAGCAGTCCCCAGAACCGTGAGTTATAGAGTATAAAACATACCCTCCAAACCAGAGCAGTCCCCAGAACCGTGAGTTATAGAGTATAAAACACACCCTCCAAACCAGAGGAGTCCCCAGAACCATGAGTTTAGTTATACAGTGTAAAACACACCCTCCAAACCAGAGCAGTTCCCAGAACCGTGAGTTATAGAGTATAAAACACACCCTCCAAACCAGAGCAGTCCCCAGAACCATGAGTTTAGTTATACAGTGTAAAACACACCCTCCAAACCAGAGCAGTCCCAAGAACCGTGAGTTATACAGTATAAAACGCACCCTCCAAACCAGAGCAGTCCCCAGAACCGTGAGTTATACAGTATAAAACACACCCTCCAAACCAGAGCAGTCCCCAGAACCGTGAGTTATACAGTATAAAAAACACCCTCCAAACCAGAGCAGTTCCCAGAACCATGACTTATACAGTATAAAACACAACCTCCAAACCAGTTTTACAGTAGATACACCAACCTCCAAACCAGAACATTTCATAGAACCATGAGTTATACAGAATGAAACAATCTCTCCAAACAAGAACAGGCCACAGAACGTGAGTTACAGAGATACACCAACCTCGAAAGCACTCACTGGCTTCACCAAAGTGGAAGGACCTGTATTAGTGTGGGGCTTTCTTCCACACTGAGCTGACACACCGTGATATGCCTGAAATACTGTTTACCTCACGCACTCATGTTGAACATTCTCCTTACAGTGACTGTATTCACGAACTCCTGGGCCACGCCCCCCTGCTAGCGGACCCTCTGTTCGCCCAGTTCTCTCAGGAACTTGGGCTATTGTCTCTTGGAGCGGCTGACGAGGATATTGAAAAGTTTGCAACAGTAAGTGTGTGGTACAATGCTTGACGGTGAATGAGTAGGATTTAACGTCTTTCTCTGATATTCTACTCACAACCCTGCGGGGTAGGGTTTGGGGACTAATCAGGAATAGAACACAAATGGTCCCTGTGAAGGGAATCGAATCTGGGTTTTCGGAATATTTCGATCCATTACATTAACCACGTGTCTACTACACGGCGTTTCCCCATCACCAGTTCTTTTTATCCAGGTATATCATTTCACTGTTTTAACTATTCCAGCTTTTTCGGTTGACTGATTTAACTATTTCAGCTTTTTCGGTTGACTGATTTAACTATTTCAGCTATGTCTGTTCACTGGTTTAACTATTTCAGCTATGTCTGTTCACTGGTTTAACTATTTCAGCTATGTCTGTTCACTGGTTTAAATATTTCAGCTATGTCTGTTCACTGCTTTAACTATTCCAGCTTTTTCGGTTCACTGCTTTAACTATTCCAGCTTTTTCGGTTGACTGCTTTAAATATTTCAGCTTTTTCGGTTCACTGCTTTAACTATTCCACCTTTTTCGGTTGACTGCTTTAACTTTTCCAGCTTTTTCGGTTGACTGCTTTAACTATTCCAGTTTTTTCGGTTCACTGCTTTAACTTTTCCAGCTTTTTCGGTTCACTGCTTTAACTATTCCAGCTTTTTCGGTTCACTGCTTTAACTATTCCAGCTTTTTCGGTTCTCTGCTTTAACTATTCCAGCTTTTTCGGTTCACTGCTTTAACTATTCCAGCTTTTTCGGTTGACTGATTTAACTATTCCAGCTTTTTCGGTTGACTGCTTTAAATATTTCAGCTTTTTTGGTTGACTGCTTTAACTATTCCAGCTTTTTCGGCTACTGCTTTAACTATTCCAGCTTTTTCGGTTCACTGCTTTAACTTTTCCAGCTTTTTCGGTTCACTGCTTTAACTATTTCAGCTTTTTCGGTTCACTGCTTTAACTATTCCAGCTTTTTCGGTTCACTGCTTTAAATATTTCAGCTTTTTTGGTTCACTGCTTTAACTTTTCCAGCTTCTTCGGTTCACTGCTTTAATTATTCCAGCTTTTTCGGTTCACTGCTATAAATATTTCAGCTTTTTCGGTTCACTGCTTTAACTATTCCAGCTTTTTCGGTTCACTGCTTTAACTATTCCAGCTTTTTCGGTTCACTGCTTTAACTATTCCAGCTTTTTCGGTTCACTGCTTTAACTATTCCAGCTTTTTCGGTTGACTGCTTTAACTATTCCAGCTTTTTCGGTTCACTGCTTTAAATATTTCAGCTTTTTTGGTTGACAGCTTTAACTATTCCAGCTTTTTCGGCTACTGCTTTAACTATTCCAGCTTTTTCGGTTCACTGCTTTAACTTTTCCAGCTTTTTCGGTTCACTGCTTTAACTATTTCAGCTTTTTCGGTTCACTGCTTTAACTATTCCAGCTTTTTCGGTTCACTGCTTTAAATATTTCAGCTTTTTTGGTTCACTGCTTTAACTATTCCAGCTTTTTCGGTTCACTGCTTTAACTATTCCAGCTTTTTCGGTTGACTGTTTTAACTATTCCAGCTTTTTCAGTTGACTGCTTTAACTATCTATTGTTTAATAATCTAACTATTCCAGGCGTATAGGTCAATATGCGAACTATTCCTGATAAATTGGTTCACTATTCCAACTGTTCCAGGTATATTGGTTAAGTGTGTAACTATTCGAGATAATGGGGGTAAGGGTTAAACTATTCCAGGCAATTTTGGTTCAGTGTTCTAACTATTCAAGACACATATTGGTTCACTTTTCTTACTTTATCAGGCATATTGGGTCAATGTCCCAACTATTCCAGGCAAACTGGTTCACTGTTCCAACTATTCCAGGTATATTGGTTCACTATTCCAACTATTCCAGGCAAACTGGTTCACTCTTCCAACTATTCCAGGCAAACTGTTTCACTATTCCAACTATTCCAGGTATATTGGTTCACTGTGGAGTTCGGGCTGTGCAAACAACAGGGTCAGATCCGAGCATGTGGCGCCGCGGTGCTGTCGGCGTATGGGGAACTTAAACACGCCCTCAGTGACGTCCCGGAACACCGACCCTTCGACCCCTTCAAGACGGCTGTGTTCAAGTACGACGACGAGGACCTCCAACCGTTGTACGTCGTGGTGGAGTCGTTCGAAGACATGATGGACAAAATGAGGTCGGTGGAATTTTAGAGCATCATTTCCATTTGTAGTGTTTCCAACACCGGCTGATTATTAGTTTGTTCTTCCGATGAGAAATAATGAAAAGTGTTGTTTCTTTACCGACTCAAATTCGATTCCAAAATTATTAATACATAAGCTTCCAATGTAAAGAATGTTTGCAAATCGCTGGATGAAGATTTTTAGCTTCACTTGTTGTGGGTGTGATTGATATGAACTTGAGGGCATCAATTGTCCTGAAATTTACGTGACACCGATAACAAACTGAAAATTACTTTCATCATGAAAGGTTTTGCATTTGTCACGTTTGTGAAATATTGCTACCTATTGGTGAGACACTCGGCTCCACTCGGCTTATTCCGCTAACTGGAGACTACTTCGGGCAGGGGGCGGTCGGGTAGCCTAGTGGTTAAAGCGTTCGCTTGTCACGCCGAAGGCCCAGGCTCGATTCCCAACATAGGTACAATGTGTGAAGCCCATTTCTGGTGTCCCCTGTCGTGATAAAGCGGCGTAAAACCATACTCACTCACTCACTCACTTTAGGCCTGTGCCAGGATACTCGGACCCCGCCTACCCAAGCTCTGTAGCAACTAGCAGAACGAATGGTGTATACCCTGCTTCAAATAATCTATATTTTTCTCGTTCTTCCAAATCAATTGCTGTTTGAAACACGTCTATTTTATGCAATTTCTATACTAAAATAGTTCACTTAACAATATCCTACCTGCGCAATGCAAAAACAATGCCATTTAGATGAAAGATCGATACTGGAGGTGAAATTAGAAAAAGGACGCATTTATAAAAGGCCGTTACCGCGCCTTCGTCACTCAACCGACTTCGAATCATGAACCAATTACGATCGATTGAATGGCTCATTTTAGGCAATCAAGGACATCAATGCCTAATGTTTTACCGTGTATTTCATACTGTGATGCGTTTATAATTATTTGCTTTTATTTTACGTTAATTGCAATGCCCCGAACGCAGAAATGCATTCTGACATTTGCACTTATTAATGACATCGTATCCATCCTTACGAACTAGGAAACGTTAAGAAAAAAATAAAGATATTGTCTATGATGTATACTGTAGCAACGCAGAGAAGCTTTATAAATTGCGTCGCAAGGCATGTAACAATCAGTTGTCCACAGTTCATAAAACAGCCTTGATTGAAAATACATGTTTCCGGAAAGCCATAAATCCCAAATTAGACGGCGATAAAAGCGCTGTTCAATATTCAATATTTCCTAGTACAAATACTCCACCGTCGACTTAAGATACACGCCTCTACAATGTAACGTAAGGTCTGACTGTATTCGAGTTCTGTTGACTCGATACAAGAGGGTTGGTTTGAAAAATAAAACAGGCTCCCTTATGACAACTCCTAATCGATCGGATGCCACCGAGCGACACCTCTTTCCATATGTCACAATGCTTTATTGAGCGAGTGCTAGCTCCTCCCAGGTGTTTTTAGCTTAACCGCGACGCTACAGGGGAATCGTTATTCGCAAATTTCAAACAAAGTGTATGTTTATTCTGATGATCAACTGAACATAAAGTTTAACCTACAGGGGTCACTGTGATCAAATCATCCTAACTGCAGCTAAATAGAACACTTTTGCCGCAAATATTTCTCAAGTTTTGTTCAAATTTACGTCCGATTTTCATTCGGTCGCTTTTGTTTAGAAAGGCCTCAACTCGTTATGTGGTAAGGGAAATCAATATATTCTAAAGTATTCCCAACATCACCATGAATCGAAAATGTCACAAAAAAAGATGATTCATTATTTTAGAAAAGAACACTTCCTGAATTAATTGATCGTCAGCGATGAAAAGTTTATGTTTGTTTGCTACGCGTCATTTTTTTGTCACGAAATGAATATCTCTGTGGATTTGTATTGATTAAATATTTATATTTGAATCGCATGCATCACAGAGCACCCTGTCTTGTGGAGGAAAAAGGGGTATTAATTTAATCGAAGGTACTGTTGAAGATCAAGTAAAGGTTATGCGAAATAAAACAAATGAAGAAAACAAAGACGTTTCCTTTTTTTCGCTATATTAAGTTAGGAAGCAAATCTCACACTGCCGGGAAAAAGAAAGTATATATATACACTTGACTACTAGATTTGACCAACTAATTTCAAACGTTATGAAGACGTTACTAGGCTGAAAACAGTCGCCGAAACACATCAAACTTAAGGTCCAAAACTGTGATACCCTATGAAATAAAATTACCGTCGAATAATTTCTTGGTGGTTTCATTCAGCTACCAGTTTTGTTTGTTTGTTTGTTGTTTAACGCCAAACTTAGCAATTTTCCCGCTGTATGACGGCGGTCTGTTAATAATCATCGAGTCTGGACAAGACAATCCAGTGATGGCCATCATGAGCATCGATCCACACAATTAGGATTGATGACATGCATCAACCAAGTCAGCGAGCCTGACCACCCGATCCTGTTAGTCGCCTCTTACGACAAACATAGTGGCCTTTTACGGTAAGCATGGGTTGCTGAAGACCTATTATAACCCGGATCTTCACGGATCAGCCTCCAGCAAACATGAATGTATACTTTCTTTTTTCTTTTACGAATCAAAGGAGCCTGTTTTACTGACAGTGTTTAACCCAACCGTTAATCACATGATAGAGACTTGTAAATGTGTGGTCTTTAATCTGTACCGTCAGCAAGCGGCTTTGGTTTTACATAGGGATCGTATAAAATACCTGTTTCTAAAGAAGTATGAATCACTGCATAACTGCAAGCCTGCCATGAATAAACGTCAGATTAGTGGCATGAGTGAGTGAGTGAGTATGGTTTTACGCCGCTTTTAGCAATATTCCAGCAATATCACGGCGGGGGACACCAGAAAATGGCCTCACACATTGTACCCATGTCGGGAATCGAAACCGGGTCTTTGGCGTGACGAGCGAACGCTTTAACCACTAGGCTACCCGACCGCCCCGATTAGTGGCATGAGGTGAAACGGCTTTCTCTGGTATTCACTTAAATCACAGCGTAAGCTTCCAAAGCATAAAATGACACAGGTCGCAGATTGACCATTCGGGGGAATCCCCATTGATATTGTAATGCCAGAGCAAGGTTCAAAATCAGGACCAATCTTGGATTCGAACACGCGACCAGCGGATCCTGGCTGCTAAGGGAACCTTTCTGCACGGAAGCATGTGGCGCCCTTGACTACTGAGACACTCTTGTCGCCGCAGCATTGCATGCACGTGCTTTTCATGAAAAGTCAATAATGTTTATACAAGGGAAGACCGCGGCTGGAATCAAAAGGCAAGCACTATAAAGGGTTAATATCAAAATATTGACATGACTAACAAAACACATACCTGTACTGCGAATTCTCTGGCTGATCAATTCTACAGACAATACTGCATATGTGGGAATCAAATCGACTATTGTAAGCGAAAGATAGGGATTTTACGGCGCATCTCTTACTTATATCATTTTGACGTACTTCTCCTGTAACTCCTGTAATACGGCCACAATTTATTTTCCTGATTCTTGAGAATGAGAAATTGTAGCTGGTGCATCCACGTGCCCTCTCTTTCTTCATAAGGTAGTGAATGAATAAACTGGATTTCAAAAAGATTGTATTTATGTTTTGTGAGACTAAATGGTCATTTTTCCCTGCGAGGCTCTGAAGTGATCTACCATCTTCAACAAGAATAACGATGATGATGGCAATATTATTTTTGATAATAATGATACTAATAATAGCATTTATAATCCCAAGTGGCGTTAACATAATGATAATCATTATGCACGTAGTATTTATCCATCTATCTATCTAGCGTCGTATCAGATATACAGAATTACATCAATCCATGGAATGGCACCATTTCACTTCTCCGGCACCAAAGAAATTCAAGTCTTCAAGATCAGTGAATAAAGTTATGGCTACTGTATTCAGGGATGCAAAGGCTGTGATCCTTGTTGATTACTTATCAAGTCAAAATATGATTGCCGGTGCCTACTATGCTGATTTGCTTCATCGCCTGAGAGATTCTATCAAAGAAAAAAGGCGAGGAATGCTGACTGCTGGAGTTCTACTACTTCATGACAATGCCTCTTCTCACACCTCCCGACTTGCAAAGGTTCCTGTTCGACAATGTGGGTTCAAACAGCTTCCTCACCCTCCATACTCGCCAGACCTAGCACCAAGAAATTTCTACCTGTTCCCTAAACTGAAAGAACACCTTCGTGTAAAGCGCTATGACGACAACGATGACCAAAGCTGCCATGAATGGGTTTTTTCAGGATGGCTTCAGAAAACTTCTTCCTGACTGGAATTGAAAGCTTCACTATCGATATGAGAAGCGTATTGAAGAACACGGAGTTTATTTTGAAAAATAAAATTAAAAACGCTTTCACAACTGTTGGTTTTGTTTCCTAGGCTTAGAACTTGTTGACCAGCCCCAGTAACCCTGACACGTCGTTACAAAGAATACAGAAATTGTCATCCATAAAGATTTCCATGCCTTCATGTTTTTCCAATTGTTTCTTAACAATCCTTCAATATTAAGGAAATACAGCTCTTTAAATATACACATATTAAACAAACTGAAACTGTAAATGCCTTTCCTTATATTGCTGTGTACATACAGTAAACTACGGTTATAACGAACACGCTTATAACGAACTAACGGATATAACGAACTAACTTTTTAGTCCCGACTATGTGCTGTAGTTATGCTGTATATATGCTTATAACGAATTACGGTTATAACGAACTAAAATTAGTAGTCCCTTTGAGTTCGTTATAACCGTAGTTTACTGTATATGATTAGTTATTTGTCAGGTACTACCGCACGTTGTAGGTGTTATTTAACGAGTAATAAATATTGATCTATTGATAGGCAATATTTTTATTTCAATTTTTATATTTCCAGGAATTTTGCATCTCAGATCAAACGTCCATACGAAGTGCAGTATGACCCGTACACTCAGTCGGTGCAGCTGCTCAACACCAAGGGGGTCCTGCACTCTGTGGCCAGGAATCTCAAGGGGCAGCTGGAGAACTTACAACACGCCATTGACAAAATACAGGCCTTCAGTCTCGACTCGTAGATCCTAGTCCCGCTTGTTGTTAAACAACGTCATGTAACACCAAATATGTATACGTAGGTTGTATAACCTATAACCTATATAACACGAAGAGGTTATATAACATGAATAGGTTAATATTGTAGTTCATGTCCTAGAAACCCGTGAAGAAGTAGCGACAAGATGCCTATCCTCAGATATATCTGACATTACTGAAGTATCGCTCCGCCGTAGTTAGACTGCGTGAGTTTTTGTACAGTGAAACCCTGTTAGTCTGGACACCGTGATTTCCGAACGATCTTTATAAGAACATTTATATACACAGGGGTATATTGTCTCATACCCATTGTTCGTTAATCTGAACATGTTTTCCTCCGGACCATTTCGTTGGAATCATTACTGTCCGCATTAAAAGGGTTTCAGTGTAAAGGATTTAAATAGTTGCGTTGTTGGTCTGAGAGGTCTTGGGGTGCAGTAATGTATTTCCTTCCGCATATGCCTGATTGTTGAGAAGCTAAGGAGTAATGTCAGAACTATGTTCATGAGTGCTACCCAGACAGTTCATGAATGCTACCCAGACAGTATGAGCTTTTCATGAACCGTTCATGAGCCTTCGTGCATTGTCCCGTGTGATATTCATTACGCCAGTCTTACTGCAGTGCTGTCATCGGTTAAACATACATGTTGTGACTGTATCTGTTTGTAATGTAAGTGCGTGTATGCTTGAACATGGTTAAATACACAGTTACAATGTACACATAAACTGTTTTTTAGAATTGGTAATATTTGCGTTTGTTTTACGGTTTCGTCCGCGTCATTTGTATTCCGGTTGCCAGGTGCTTTTTGTCCGGAATTTTGTGCATAGCAAGGGAGGGCAACTCTGAATATATTGTGGTGTGATTTCATGAACATATTTGCACCCAGACTGAGGGGAGTATAATATATAATATATAATGTATAATATATAATATACTGCTTTTCATTTGATGTTACTCCACTATGCCAAGTTAAAACGGAAAAGTTTTGGGTTTTTTCAAAATGACCATAAATGTTGGAACGTGTTTATTTCAAAATGGAGTATATGTTTGATTGTGTATCTAATATACCTTTTTAATATTACAAATCCTATACTTAATATTTATGCATGTAATGCAAAACAGAAATAGATGTATTCAACATAAACATTTTTTTCATGCATTTAACTCTGTTTCTGTGATCTACTAATGACGCCTAACCCAAAGAAGACGCATACGTAATCTAAAATAGAATATTTATTGTTGCTTTTGAAATCAGCTACGAAACAGGCAGTTAAGGGAAGTAACTCCACCAAGCCTACTCGGATAAGTACGCTTAAAGCATTGAACAATTATTACTGTGAAAATGTTCAAAAATAAACAGTACCTTCAGTTTGGGTTAGAACACACAGACACAGAAAGGGAACGTGTGTTTTTCGAGGGAGTCCGATAAAGGCACATCGTTGAATATAATAGTTCACTGTGTTTGTTTGGGTCTTCAATAGAATATTGATGCATCTTGGGTTAAACGCCGCTTATAACAATATATCAGTAATTTCACCGTGTGTCAACTTAATGTGGGGGGGAACCCCGAAGTGGTTCAGGTCTAAGACTTTTACCACTTTGGTGAAACCCACGAGCACGGGCATGGCGCTGACAAACCTAGAAACATAATCGGGGCGAACCGGGATTCGAACCACAATCATAGGTTTCTGGCTTGCCCAAGGGACGCAACTCTGCACGTGGAATTGCGACGCCTAGGTCTCGGCGCCCGCGCCCCTGAAGCTCGCTGATAGCTTGTCCTTAAGGAGATGACTTTAAGGAACTTCCACATGTAAACTCAATTCTTCCTTGAAAAAAAGACGAGATACGAGCCATTACCAGCCCAAGGACGTTTGATAAAATTGTCTTTCTCAGATATACACATTAACGTTTTCAAAAGAGTTTTTTAGCTTAATAAGTCAGCTAATCATAATCACCATCTCTTTGGTCTGAGGTCAGATGTCAAAACCTTATTAAGGATTAGGGAACTGATTATTGTTATATAAGAATTGGTACAATGATAATAAGAATTAAAAATAACATTGGTACAGTCACTTTCTGTCTGGAAACATGTCGCAAGTAGTTCAAGTACTTAGCTCTTAACTCTGCCCAGGAACTGAACCCAGTCAATCGACAACGACAACCACTTTTCTGGTTCCCCACCCGTGTCTCGCCCACCCATCCGTAGCCTCGACCCTGTCTGCGATACAGGAGCATAGGCGAACGCGCACAACAGGGGTAGGAACCAGTCTTCGAGAACTTCGAGTCGCCACTCTGGTTTGTCCCGGAATGACACGAATGTTCACGAATGCTCCGCGCCTGAAAGTGATACTACTAGTCTACTACTACTCGTAGTCTATCTTGATGAGTGTTTTCTTTTACATCCTTGTATGACATGAACATGTTATTTTCGTGACTGTTATAATGGAGTCTTGTTCAGAAGAGGAAGTTACAACTTCCCATAGTTATTTAGGAATAATGTTTCCATGTGTGTGATATAATTTGTAGCACACCATGTTATTGGTTGGGAAATCGAAACAATGTACAGCTCTACTTGATACTTCCCGGCATTTATTTATGGCTATTTTATGCTAAATTTTTCATTGTAGTTCACAAGCCATCAATCTCATTTAAAACAGATCTTAGTTCCCGCTATCTCTTAACGTAGATCTGACCCCATTACGGGTCACATCAGAACGACCTTTCATCCAACCAATCAATGCGTCGCTTACCAGTTCATGGAAGTGACAGTCGGAATGTGTTTCTGATCATGCAACCTGATCAGAAATCCATTTATATAATTTTCACAGCTATTGGTGCCCATGAATCTGTTTCGACGGATAATCTAGACTGGCTACTCTCTTGCATTGATAATTTATCTTTCCCTTCCACGAAATTCTAAACAGAGCAAAGAGTGAGTGAATAAGGTTTTACGCCGCTTAAGCAATATTCCAGTTGAGCCCAGTTGTTAAAGCGTTCACTCGTCACGCCGAAGACCCGGGTTCGATTCCCGACAAGGGTACAATGTGTGAAGCCCATTTCTGATGCACACCGCCGTGATATTGCTGGAATATTGCAAAAAGCGGCGTAAAATCAAACTCACTCACTCGTTTACTGTGATGTTATGTTATTTGCGTCGGTTTCTAAAAGAAAAGAGGCACGGGTGGCACAGTCGTCTAAGGCGCCGCGATTCGCTATGCAGAGTTGCGTCCCTTGGGCACGCCAGAAACCTATGATTGTTGATTCGAATCCCGGTTCGCCTCGATTATGTTTCTAGGTTTGTCAGCACCATACCCGTGCTCGTGGGTTTCACCGAAGTGGTAAACGTCTGAGACATGCATCACTTCGGTCTTTCCTCCCACATTACTCGACACGCCGCGATATAACTGGAATACTGTTAAAAGCGGCGTTAAACCCAACTCACTCACTCACTCTAAAAGAAAACTTATGAATGAAGGATTTAAAGATACACATATGTCACCAATGAATGTCAGCACGTGCAGGTAGAGCAGTCCATATAGATACTATTTCTCAGCCAGCTGTGCCATAAACATGTGATAGATGTCAGTGTCTTGTACTCTGAGAGTTCCGCCGTGTTGCTATATTGTACATATCTTCATAGCGCCAGCATATGTGATACATTAACGCGTGTTACAAGCAATATTTATGTACCAAACTGCTACTGTGTGATTAGATTATTTTATAGACATAGTTGCGCTCCACTGTATCATATTGATTGCACGTTGAGAGTTGTAGGGGTGACATCGAGGATCGATCCAACCCGTTGCTAACATGTGATACTCTGTAGTTATAATTATAACTAAACTATTAAAAAAAATATTAAGCTTGGCTGTTTCTTAGTTGTTTTTTAATGAACGATTGTTGACACGATAATAGCAGCGACACTTTCATTTATTGACAACAAACTACTGATGTTTTATGGCGATGGGTCTTATGAGACGCCACAATTCGAGGTGCAAAGTTGCCTCCCTTGGGCGTGCCAGGATCCAGTTGTCATTGGATCGAATCAAGATCAGACTTCATTATGATCCTTCGTCTTGTTGTTGATAGAGTGAAAAACGACGTTCATCTCGTCTTACAATAAATACTAGCTTCTGATTGGTTGGTTGAGGAGAGGGTAATTATTGTCCATATAGCCCTCTCATGTATCCTGCACAATTTCAACACATCTAGGTATCTTACATCTCTGGCGTAAGTATCGCCGAGCTGAAATGAACCGATGTTTATGCCAGTGCATTGTGTAAAGGGAAGTAATTCGGTTTGCGTTGGCTGTTGGCTGTCAAAACGGCTGAATCTATGGGTATTACTCGGTGAAACTTCGGACATATATTCCGGGTCTTTGTGAATGAGTGATTGAGTGAGTTGGGTTTAACGCTGCTTTTAACAATATTCCAGTTATATCGCGGCGTGTCAGCTTAATGTGGGAGGAAAGCCTGAAGTGATGCAGGTCTCAGACGTTTACCACTTCGGTGAAACCCACGAGCACGGGTATAGTGCTGACAAACCTAGAAACATGATCGGGGCGAACCGGGATTCTAACCCACAATCTTAGGTTACTGGCGTACCCAAAGGACGCAACTCTGCACAGCGAATCGCGGCGCCTTAGACGATTGGGTCACCCGTGGCCCCTCTTTGTGAATGAATCTCTCTGAGATCAATTCGTTGTTAGCCGATCCTTCAGGGCATATGGTGTGATGCAGCCTGTGTGTGTGACAACGTACCCTGAACCATCAGGCTCACACACAGGGTCACATCATGTACCCAACGATCTGTTGACAATATAAAATGGGTTACAATATCGTTCGAGGACGGTGGCGCAGGGTGACACACAATCAGCCAGATCCAACACACCGTCTCCACCATTAGTTGGCGCTTCCGATAACCATGGGTGCGGTGGGGTAGCCTTGTGGTTAATGCGCTCGCTCCTCACGTCGAACACCCTGGATCGATTCCCCTCAATGTACAATGTGTGAAGCCATTTCTTGTGTCCACCGCCGTGATATTGCAAAAAGACTGTTTAAAGCGGCGTACACTGCAAACACGAAAACGTCGTTTTTTCCCGTATATGGTCATTGGACGGAAAAACGACGTTATTTGGACGCTTTCAAACCATCGTTTTCCCGTCCAAATAACGTCGTTATTTGACATCGGAATTTACTGGGAGAGAACGATATCATCAAGCTCCTCCCTTTCTTGATTGGCATTGTCGATCAAGCAACAGCGTCTACCGGTATTCCTACTTCTCCGATTTCATTGGTCAGTTCTCGCGTGTTAGATTACAGGCACGAGTTTGACGCTGTACTCGAAGCGCTTAGCGGAAGTACTGAAATCAATCGTTCTGCGCATGCGGATTGCTTAACGCCTTGTCCAAATTTTCCGTTCTGTGCATGCGCGATTTCGCGTATTGTTTCCACTATATGTCACCACTATTTGACAGTGATTCATAAACACAGTCTCGTGATGAGTTCGGAATCGTACAATGTCGCTTTAATTTATGGCACGTACTTGATCGGCGCGTATTTCCCATTAACAAATACAATGATAACGGTAATAATTTTAGTCAAAATAATTAGGAAAGCGCAAGGCTCAGTAACGTCTGAGTATAGGAAAAGGATTTATACTTTCGAAAGTTATATACTCGTCAAATACGCAAAAGAATATCAACCGGCTTTTAAAACTTATTTTTTTAGAAGGTGATCTT